GGGTTTATTACGAATCAACTTAACGGCCTGCTCCCAGTTGGCTTGTTAGCTCAATTGGTAGAGCGCAGCACTAGTATCGCAGAGGTCAGTGGTTTGAATCCCGTACAGGCCTGATTTTTTTCAGGTCTGATTTTCGCTATTGCATAAATAGCACTATCTACTGCAAAGGATCGTGCATCATACGTAGTTTAGGGTTTCTTTAGTTGATGATCATTTATTTCCTTGATTCTCATGACCTTAATGTGTGATTCAAGGGTGATATTTTAAAGAGAAACTAGATGCTAACTAGTCACTCTCAGGGGTTAAGGATAAAGAGGAAAAAGGGGAGAAAGGGTGTAGGAAATTAGAAAGAGATAAAGACACTCTAAATTTTCAAGAAAAACAAACTAGTGGAAAAAAAGACTTTTCACTCTGATATGATGTCAGATTCTCCAGGGGCAAGGTCATAGGGACAAAGATGTGGGGAAAATGGAAGAGATATAAACATTATCTAAATCTTTCGAAATAGAAACCACACCAAAACTGTTCATTTTGGTTTCTGGTTTCTGTATATGAAAAAAAATGTTAAAGTTCAAGTTCGTGGCAAAAGTTGAGTACAGTTTTCTGTCAAGAATTCTACACACATTTGGAGTGGTTCTTACTTTTGATTGAATCTCTGCCTTTGGTTATCTTTACACAGATGGGAGACTGACGATAACTTTTGCAAGAGCAAGGTATTGAACAGGTCTCCTTATGATTTTGGTCCTCGCTTGTTAGATCTTTTGGACACAGCACTATTTGACTTTCTTATCGGTAGGTACCTCTTGGCTGATAGTATCGGTCTTGTCTGTGAGTTTATTACTGGATGCTCATTACCAAGGGAAGGGATTGTGTATTTGGTGCCGCTAATTCTCATCAGAAATCTTATGACGAAATAAGAATCCAATCTTTCTGTCTTGTTACGCGAACTCATGTCTCAGTAAACGCATTTAATGAACTGTAGTTAACTGACTTCCTACAGTTTGTACATTTGTTACACGCAAGCACGTGCAGTGGCGGTGTTTTGCGTGTTTAGTGCGTGTAATACTGCTGCGCGCGAGAGCAGTGCCTGGTTTTGAAAATGTGTAGCACTCTTTCAGCTGTATCCTTTACAAAAACGAATTAAACTATTCGCGACTTGGACACTCGCTAGTTCTTCCTTTGTTCTGAAATGATCTATTCGAGCTTTTGAATTTTTCGAGTTCTGATTTTAAATTAATCCTTGAGCATTGAATATTGAACTATATGAAAATTAAGAAAACTTTATCTACATGATTCACCAGGAAATGCAGACAGGCATCATTATGAAACCTTGAAAGACGAAGGAGACACTGGAATGCCATTACATCTGGATAATGCCAAGAGGTACGTGCAAGGAGCGCTGTTTTGCAGTGAGTCGTATAAAGTTCATAGAACATTTATTCGTCAGTTTATTTGATCAGTACAACGCTGCGAAAATCGCCAGATGTGGTAGGTTGACCATTTCATGTCAGTTAGAACTTTGTGGATCTCTTCTTAACATTGTGTTGCAAATGTCAGTTTAATCAAAAGCGAAAGAAAGTCCGAAAGATTTTCAGCCAAAACTGCTATCTTCATGTACCAGCCCAGAAATAAACTAATTTTTTTAAGTTTATCCCCGTGGATCACATCATTTGGCATTTCAATTCAACTTGAAGTGATATAATGTAAAGGGAGTGTCAATTTTTCTTATTTTTCAGCTTTGGCAATCCTTTCCGCGATGAAATGTCCATTTTGGCTCCTATTTATCAATGTTGCAGGTGAGAAGGAAAAGGAAACTCTTGATGAAGTTAATATTAGTAGCCTCATAGTAACACATGGCAGGGGTTTCATTAAGGGGCCTGGGCACCCGGCAAATTGACCGGTTGTGAGGACGGTTTTGCCCACCTGATTTGACGGTCTGGAGGAAAGTTTATCTTATAAAGAAGTTCAGTTCAAAGAGTTTTGCCCGCCTGTGAAAACCAGTTACCCTCCTGCACAAAACATTAATGAAGCCCCTGCCATGGTAACCCCTCTATCTTTCTCGTAAATATACTTGCATTTCTTCAAGTAGTACCTACAACAGACCATAATCTCTTGGTATCTGGTAATATAAAGTCATTCTTCTCAAAACGATTTCAAGGAGTAGGTTAATGGATTGGAGGAGTAGGTTGATGTGCCCACGGCACCCCTTTGAGTGCCCTGCGGGCACGAGCCTATAGGGGGGTCCTGGGGCATGCTCCCCGAAAAATTTTGGAAATTTGGATGCTCGGAGTTGCAATTTGGTGCATTTTGGGTGTCATGAAAGGGGGAAAAGTCGTGTAATTTTTATGTAAGATTGAAGCGGATCACGCCAGCTAAGCGCACTCTGGCGGCTTTTCTTTAACTTTCTCTGTTTGTGTTTAATTTTTCTTGTTTTCTTTTTCATTTGTTGCCGTTGAAAATTATATTTTTTGACTGAAAAGAGACGGCCAAGATCGGAAAGGAGGCGGCTCGTTGAGCCGCCGACCGGCCAGTTTTGAGAAGGCTGATAAAGCGTCTCCTCTTTTGCTATTTCTCCCTGCAGTAGCGTCTTACAGACTGTAAATCTGCTTAGTAACCTCGAGGAAAGGACCAATCAGGGTTTTAGCTTGGATTTACCGATTTCGCTGAAGTTCCGTTTAGTTTTAAACGGAAACGAGGAGACCATTTCCCCGACATCCTCGATTTCTCGCTGAAAAAAAAATATCATTCCCCCTATTTTTTTTTAAGTTTGTTTTCCACCAAAAAATTTATCATGACATTGTGAGCTGTTATATTGTTTTTAAGTAGAACATCAGATCGAGCCCCCTTGAGCATTCATACGGACGTCTCAGAAGATACACTTCTGTTCGAGAGACTATCTATGAAAAGCTTTTGGGCAGAAACATATCTTAGGGCCTGAACTCGAGCTTTTCCCTCTCTCTCCTCCCCCCTTATTTTGTCTTGTTTGACTTAGTAATCCTTTACGCCCCTTTCAGACTTCGCCTTTCTACTTGGAACCGCTTTCAATCTATCGCCAGGGGAAAGACGCCTCTAAGTGAACTTTTGCGAAAAGCCACCGAGAATGATCCTGTGTCACCGGTTCTTTCCGATCCACACTTTAAAGCCATCGACAGACGATTGAAAATTATCATCAATACAGTGAATAAGTGCATTAGAGATTACGGAGAGAAAGGAGTATTAATTATCGAGGATATGGTTTGAAATTTCATCTCAAAAGCAGTATTTATTTGGAAGATACTTTAGATAAATCTATTTATCAAATGACCCGCCCAGCCCCGCTCGTGCAATCCCAAAGAAAACCATAGTAAAAGCTAACGTGTGTAGGGCCGGGCGGGTTGATGTGAACCAGTCCGGGAAAAGCCATCCGGTCCCAGTGCACTCTTTTTGTACGGCGACACTGTTCACTGTGGTTGCAAAAAAAAAAAAACTGCAAATAGTCTATTTGAAGAGTCGTATTCTGGAAATTTACATATTTATAAATGGATTTATCTTCATGTTCTTCGTGAATTTATTTAAGAGTACACTCTCTTATTTTAAACAACATTCAAATTTTCCTAAAGACATTGTAACGTCCATTAAGGAAACCAAAGTCAAATGCAGACCGCGGGTAAAGTTTAATTTACTGAGTCATATAGAAGTTATTTTAAAAGATTCATAAGGTCAAAGTCGTACGATTGATTTTTTTAAGGGAGAGAAACAGCCCATTTCGGAATTACCTTTAGCTTTTTTCAAAGCAAGTCCTGGTGCTTATCCTTTCATTTGATAATAGGTTTTCATTCACATGTAAATTAAATTAATTTTCCCAAGAAAGGTTGAGCACCAGGCTTCGTTTTGAAAATGAGGACAAGTGTAACTTGGAAATGGCCTACTGGAATTACCTTGGGCCTCTTTGAAAGCGAACCCTGGTGCTCATCCTCTCATATCATGATAGGTTTTCATTCACATGCAAATTAAACTCATTTCACTAGAATGGTTGAGCACCAGGCCTCGTTTTGAAAATAGCTTAATTTACTCTTCAGATCAAATATGAAAATTACATCAATTAAACAGAATTATTAGTTTTGCAGTCTATTAACTTATTCCCTAATACTTTAGGTGTGAATGTGTCATTCAGAATCGTAAAGATATTAAGGTATTTTTTTAATATATTAACGTTGAGTCATAGATTGCCGTTGAAGCCCACTGGCTATGCCTATAAGAATATCGTCATTAGCAGTGAACGATAGCGCTAATTCGTCAATTCGTCGCGAACAAAAATACACGAATACGGGTTTTTCCCATGGGATTAAATCTACCAATTATAAGGGGCCGGGTGATTTTGAAAAAAAAAATTCTGCAAGCGCTTGTTGGAAGAAAAAAATTGCATGCAGCCCAAATGTAACAGAAAAAAAAGAGCATTTAGAACGGAAAAAATATCCTGCCCAGCCTAATTGCTAGAAAAAAAAATTCTTGATGACCAGAAATCACCCACCCCCACCCCCGTTCAAAGGTTAAATGATCGGTCCTTAATACCTTGTGAATAAGTTATTGTTTGGAGTTTGGTGTGGAAAAAGTGGTAAGTTGTAAAGCAAAAATTGGCAAGCACGCGGATTTATTTCTATCACGCTCCCGGATTTTTCATCGTGTACTTTTACGATAGCCTATATTGTAAACACAAAGTTTAAATCTAAAATTTTTGTCGTATTGTCTATGGTTGTAATGGGACAGAGAGAAACTAATATATATTTGACACAATAAAAGTGATTTCGAACAAAATAGACTTTAACCTTAACACTCATTTATTTCTAGTATACGTACTCGCTTTATCATGAGCGCGAAGCCGTTTTCATGCGAGTACAGATGACACTCATAAAAGTCACCAACCAGCGTATATTTTTTAACCTCAGCGGAGTGCACTTAACAATTCGAATCAAGGCTTAAGACACTTTCAGCGAGGAGGAAAGACAACGCGGTAAAATATTCTAATTGAATAGTCATAAGTGATATATTACGAACAGCTTGTGTTCAAAAACTGATAGTACTTTTAATGACTAACGTTTAAACATTGAGCCTTAGAGACATCGGGCCGCAGGGAAAGAAAAGAGACCGCACGAATTCACAGGCACTGCTCTCCAGCAAGCTGCAAATGGTAGTAAGAGAGGACTAAGTAAAAGAGTGCATCCCAAATCCACGCAAATGAACAAAACTATCGGCCGATGATCGGTAATTTATCGACTCCTCTGAGAATTCTGCTCGAAATAGGCGTTACTAGAAATTCCTTGAGCGAAATCGACTTAAAAGTAAGCCCATAATGTCACCCAGTCTAACCCTCTTCTTAAAAAAACGTGGTCCGTTCTAGGAACTCTAAAGCGGTCTTTCCAACGGAAATTTAACTGAACAAGTTGAATTTTTTTTTCTGAGCGTGCAAAACGCCCTCTCGGTTAACATAACTGACCACGAAGAATATTAAAATCAGCGGTCTACACTGCATGTGCAGAATGTGAACGCAACATACTGAAGTGTCAGGAAGGTATAGATATCCCAAGATCATCTCCCTGCAAGTTCATACACTCGCTTTTTCATTCCCAAACACAACCTGGGGTGTCTGAGGCTGATCGCAGACCACTTGTGTTGCTGCAAGGGAAGCAAACAAATGAGCGTGTGAAAATTGAGTTAAGAGGTGCAGTGTAAGATTTATTATACGGTACGTTAGGCTTTAAGGGGAGATTACCCTGGGCCGCAAAAGTGCACTAGTAAAACACAATTTAGCTCAGGCATCTGCCGAAATTTAATATACACTCCAGAGGAAACAAAGCAAAACTTTTCCTATTTCACCCCATTGACTAAAATAAGATTAAATTAGATTCCAGAAGATGGTGACACCCGTAATCCAGAGGGACGATCGAGGATGAGTAAATTATATTTTTCTAGGCTTAAAACTCGCGATTTTGTTGAGAAAGGGGAGCCGGGGGGGACGAAAGGAAAGAAACGATTGGAGCTAGTATTGCGCAAAAATCATATCAACCAGTAAAATACATAAGCGTTGTATATGAGGTTCTCTCGCCCTTGAATACTTACGAGTTGTTCTCACATAGCCTGTATGTCCGTGGCGCCAAAGCGTGGACAGCATCTTCTTTTTGTAACAAAAAAGCAACATCACTCCAAGTAAAAGACACACAACGAAAGAAAGACAGGTTGCAAACGAAATGAACCTCAGGGTGGTAGCTCCCTTCCCTCCTTTAGTGCGGGCAGCCATCTTGTCATGTGACATCACAGGTATCGTGGAAACCAACACAGCAGGCGCAGTTGTCCTGTATGCAGTAGGCGCGCAGTTGATGGTGTTGACATCGTATCGACAAATTTGGTTCGATGGGAGGTTGGTCTGTGCTTTGCACTGTTCCTCTATATCTTCGTCTTTACTGTCAGCACAACACCTCATGCAAGGTTTGCAATCTCCGGTTGTGGCTCGATAGAAGCTGTTATATGAAAAGTTGAAACGTCAAATCAGTCCTACGATAGGTTTTTCATTAAAAGTGCGCTTCACATCTGTCCTAGCAGGCGAAAAAACGATAAAGGAAGTTTTAATCAAGTCAGACGATGCAGACGAGGTGGAGTTTGACAAAAATCTCAGATCAGACTCTATTTTGATGATCAAACTTGCATTCATGTTTCCACGATAAGAAAAAGGAACGTACACCGACAAAGGCCTAGGCTACGAAAGTTGTCTCCTGCGGACAACTAATGCTTGAAGGCTCTAGAGTAGTGATAAAATCTTCGAACAACGAAACCGACTGAACATTTACTATTGTTATTACTAAATCGATACTGAGATGTATCGATTTAGTATCGATACATCTCAGCTTCTGAGTATCTCTTCTCGTACCTGAAAAACGAAGACAAACATTTGGCCTTTTCGTGAAATAACAAAGTGAAAAAGGTTGAAATGTGAAACTAAATCGGGAAAACGGCAATGTTATAACACCTTGTAGTAACGAAAAAAACAACTTTGAATTCTTCGAAGAAAATAAACTTTAACTGAGTCGATTTTATAAGGAAGGAAAAGATGATCCTAGATCAGTTAACTAAGTCAGTTTCTGCCGATGAAAGAGCTAGAAAGTGAAGTGATTATTGTTGAATAAATCAAAAGTATAACACGTAATCTTCCAGAGAGTTTCACCCCAGATACCGCTCTTGTGGTAAAATTCAGTCATGATTTACGTACCCAGCATTGCACTCTCCACAAACCGCATTCTTCGTGGCAGTGCAAGGGCTGATCGTTTCTTCGTTAGGGTCACAGATAGTGCAAGGCTTACACGAGGAGATGTCAAACTTATCCGAGTATGATTTGCCAGGTTTACATTGTACACACTGGACAGTGACGTCAGCGGTAATACGTGAGCCACACTGCGGGACCATGCCTTCACCCTCGGGACATTCAGGACAAGGAAGACATTCAACTACCTTGGGACGCAAAATAGTCAGCTGATTCCAACTGCAGCTTCTGTTACACACCACTGGCACTGGAAACTGATGATGTAACAGTTTGTGCTAATCAGAAAGCAAACATCGACAAGTACGAGTTTTCATTTTATTTTTTTCTCTCTGAGTCCACTAACAGCTCCATATTTCATGTTTCAGCATAGAGCTTCGTCATGTTTTATGTATCGTGATCTAAGACCTAAATTTTCTTCTTCAAAGTTAAAAATTTGCAATTAACCATAGCTTTGTCTCCTTTTGTTGGTTAAGGAGACGTAACTCTTTCAGATTTATCACTCAGCGAAGCGAAGCAGAAGCACTTCAATCAATCAAAAATAGCGGGAATTTTTTACGGTTTTACCCTAGATCAAGGTACTTTGTACATTATTGACAATCCGTTTTCATTCCATGAAACCGGAAAAAAGGCGAAATAAACAAGCTGCGGTATGCCAGACGAGTAGAAATGAATTATTGCCGATGGCTAAAAAAGGGAAGTTGTGTTTCCTTTGCGGATTATGAAAAAATTACAATTATTCTGGCAATAGCCACAAACACTGGTGATATTTTTAGACCTACCGATGATAACTGGAAAGAGGCAAAAAACAAAATTTGCGTTTGTTCGGAGATACCGATTATCCATTTTTTTTCATTCCCATGTACCTTTACTTCTTTCTCCATAGATAATCTGATCTCCGGATCTTCATGGTATAGTTTATACCGAAATATAACTGTCACTTTAATATCTTGGTTTTCTGTTCATTTGTTGTCAAAATTTAAAGACACAATGAATCTACCATCTATCGTTCATCTTTTATCTTCATGGTTTACTTTGGAAATTGTTTCATTAACTTTTCACCCGATAAAAATCGAGTCGACTTGGGAGGTTTAATTTTTCCCATTTGTTTGATTTCGAAAGTGAAAGTAACCGTACTCTGATAGGCAGAAGAAGTTTGTAATACTCAACGCATTAGATCATCCACTGTTTATACTTATGCTAAGAAACAATATTACAAGTTGTTTTTAAAATCCTGCGTCGTATGTTGACCAAATCAAGAGATCACAAAGTCTCTCTATCACACTCAAGTTCCGTGTTGGTCGACCACGAAAGAGAACGTAAATTATAAAGTCGATTAACAGTACGCGCCCTAATTTTGCTGACTACGCAACTTCTTCAGTAGTTTTACGGAAAGCGAAAACAGTAATGCGAGCCGGCCGTGCAACAACTCAGCCTCGCAGCAACTCAGTTTAATAAGCGTTTTCCACAGAAGTCACATAACGATGAATATTATACAGCGATATAGTTGGGCCAAAATAAATTCTCATCGATATAAAATAATCTACGTACCAAATAAACAGTATAGACGCTAATCAGCATGAATAAATCAGTAATCATGTGAACAGACATGACTGGCTGTGTTAATGTACCTTGACCTGTAGAAAACACGCAGAAATGTCATTATTTCTGAATAGTTTTTAGTATTGCTGTGAATTTTTTTTATCTCTTAATGTTTTTAGCCACCTCAAGCGTTAGATTTTAGCAGCTTTGTTGCACATATTTCAAATCCAACCATTATTCGTTTGTTTTTTAACAGCGTACCTAAATTACTACAGCCCACGCAAGAAACATGACCCAAAATTTCCCCAGAAAGATTCACCTTACTCGACTTCTTTGATATGTATCCCTTGTTTATCATTTATTCCACAGCCACTTTTCTAGACTAACTCCAATTAACCAAAGAAATTATAACATTTTTTCCTTTACTGTTAAAATGAAAACGTTTATCAAACCCGTAAGTGAAATTTGCTTTGTTTGCATAATTTCAGATAACAAATATTTCACAAAAATATTTTGAAACCGAAGTAGTTACTTCCTTTTTTGTGGTCTATTGGTTTTCAATCCGAGTTTCAATATTTCGAAAGAAACTTTTCTCTTTAAAATTGCGTTAGATAAATTCTCTTGTGGGAATAACTCCCACGTATCCGCTATGCGAAGTCATCACTTCTGTAATCAGTGTCCACCACGGAAGAGAAGTGAAATGGGTATGGGTGATTACGTTTGACAACAAGACCTTCTTAGTAACGCTGCCTCGTGCATAAAAGAAAACCTCAGGTAAATAGATTTTAGAATAAAATACCTGTAGCTGGAAAGCTTTCTCGAACAATCTTCAGTGTCTTAGATGCGGGCGGTTTGCTTCAATATGCAAACAAAGGTCATTCAAGCGTGATCTACTTGATGGCCTTGAAGGGAAAAACCCTTTACCGAAAGTTTTAACTCAAGAAAGACGCATATCAAATTACTGATTATGCGTCTTCCTATTTTCAATTCGATGTGTACGTCGACAACACTAGTTCCTGGCTTTAAAAAGAAAAAGAACTCGTGCTCTAAATATGCTTTACTCAATTTCCAATTATTGCAGCGCTTTCGAGAGAATCGACAGGTCAGACATGGGTTGCATCATCAAATTAAGGCATTTCCGACTCCGCTACATCTTTGCCTTGTGTTTTAATGTAATGGCGTGATACATGAACTAACATCAAAAACTGACATCAAACGCAGTCTGTCTAAAGAATGAAGCCATTTTGAAAGAAGGTAATGACGTCAAAGACGGGATCCAGCATCCAACACCTGATCGGATCGCCCCAAACAGACGGCACATGGACACAAAATGTGGTCAAAATAAGCTTGTATATCTATTTCGCTTCATCTCTTCTTCTTTGGCGACATTTTAAGTTTGTCACACAAACATTTACCGTCAGAGAATATTGAGCTGCCAATCTGCGGATACGACATGTTATGTTATGTAAACGTCACATTTCCGGTTCTTTTCATTTGATAACTAAGAGATCACCTCCTCTTGGTCATGTACAAGTATCTACTTCACGAAGGGAAACAAAATATTTGAAACTGAGAAACATATACAAGTATCTACGAAGGGAAAGAAGCCATTTGAAAGTGAGAAACTGCCAAAACCCCGAACAGAGATTCTACTGTTGCAAGTTGAACCTCTTGGGAGACTCCTTCAGCCAAGCAATAGGTGAGTTGTCACGATATTATTTAAATAAAATTTTGGCCGCCCGGACCAGCCGTTTTCAAATGTAGATGATAATATCACAATTTTATGATACAATGTTGTCACAGCTAAGCTTTCATTTACTTACTAGGAGAACAAATACATTACATTGTCCCGTCATTTGTATTCCGAATATATGTACCTCCGATTTCGTTTGCTCAAACGAGCGAAAAATTATCTACTCTGAAGACCGTTTTGAGTGCTTGCATGAAAACGTTGTTTACGAAAGGCTTATCTCACCACGTCAAAGTGCGTTCTCTTGATTGAAAAATATTACATGTATTTGGAAATTTTTCAGCGAAACTCCTTACAATGTTTAAAGCTTCTTCCCTCAAATTTTCACTCGGCATAGTGTGCTACTTTTCTAATTAATGCTCCCTCGAGTCTTGTCCGAGTGATCTTGCCAATGAAGAGGTACTTCTTAGCATAACAAGATGTGGTTGCGAAGACTGATATGAATGTTTAATCATTTGTTTTATGATTTAAAGTCCCTAATGAGTGTAAATCGCCATACTATTAGTTTTCGTCATTCGTAGAAAGCGTGGTTGAAGGGTGAAAGGCAGATCTTTTGTTGATTGTCTGAAAGGATGTTGATAGGGCATGTTTGTTGGCCATGATGATAAAAAAAATTGTCTGATCTTTTGACGGATAACTTAAGAGTCATTGTCAATTGTAAATTCAAAATCGCATAATATCGACCATTAATTACACTGTTAGTCTTGTGAGGCGACGGAACGAAGACTTGCTGCACACAGTAAAACACTTGAAATAGGGTCCACGTCCAGGTGATACTTTCCTTATTTTGTTTCTTTATCATTTTTTTTGGTTGAAAATTGCATGTCCGTAATCGAGTGTCATCCACCAACAACGAAAAACAGAACGTTCACGAGGTTCAGTTCAGCATACTAATTTGAATTAGAGTCATCAAAGGTCGTGGGCGAACGCACGTACGTCCGTTGAAAAGTCTTAGAAAACTCCTAAAAATAAATGCACTAGCGACTAACTTCGTCAAGTACTGCTGACTCATTAGTGTGGGGGAATCCCCCTGACTACAACCCTTCACACTCATACGCGATCGATTGCACCATCTCTTCGCCTGCGCTTCTGTCATTGAGATCGTTGGCCGAATGAAAATAAATCGACCCGAAAAGGGTTTGAATTACCACGGATTTCTCCATACGACAATGGAAAACCTTAATTTCAGCACCAAATCGCGCTAGAATGGGTAAGCAGTTAAGTCGCCGAGGTTCCACCTTTTGTCGATAGTCAATTAGCGGTCGCAACGACCAGTAATTGATAACTTGTCTTTATCGAGGCAATTCCCCTCTTATCTGCATTCATTCTAAAAGTTTGGTTATTTATATCTCGAGCAACCTTTTGAAAATTTAACTCTGATCTATCACGTTTTTGTCGCTGACAGGTTTGCCACATATGATATGAAGGGCGTCATTGAAGTAAGTGGAAATTTGTATGGTTTAGATGAAATGTTTCGTCATATTATATTTTATCATGGGGCAAAAGAATCTATTCGAGTTCTACGTAGAAACCTTGTCAGTATACAGGATGTTCGTGTTATGAACCTGTTTAAAAGCCAAACTACCATGACCCTCCTAATGTTTAATATAAAAGCATCCGAAGACAGATTTCACCGCGGTGGGCCATTATAATTCGGAGTTTAGATAACTGCGAATTTTGCAACAAACGTAGTCTACAAACATAACAAAAACTTATTGCAAAATTTTCACTTATATATACACCCATTATCGAGTAATCTTTAGAGGATATATCATCTTAGGCTTCCTCTAAGATAAGCGTCTGTAACCCATTTACGTGATTATATCTCTACGACATGATTTACCATTCATGTGGCAACCCCCAACAAAGGGGATCAACACTATTTCTTTTAAAGTAATCAACGAGTAAATGTTTGTAGAACTACGTAATAATTTAACCCCTCCTGCTGATGTTTTGTTTTGTTAGTGTCCCACCGTGTGTTAAAATTTTGGAGTTTCTTCTCCCCTTAACCTTCCACCTCATCAGAATTGATTTAAACTTGTACATGTACAAGTTTGTTATCAATGTTTCCTAGAATTACACCCACAATGGATTAAAAGTTCTCCTCTTTTTTTCCTTAGATAAGTGTGCTTGTGTTACTATGGGTGCAATTTCTGATAGAGTGTCGACCCATATCATGTCCTCTAGCGCATAACATTGTTAGGTATGGTCCTAATAATGAAACGGTGGGCTGTGTTCGTTGTCCAAACTGCCCCATTGGACAGGGGTTGTCATATCCTTGTGGATCCAAGGTGTTCATTGATTCGAAAATTGAATGCATATTTTGTGAGCCAAACAAAACTTACTCGGATGAGCATGGAATACGCCACTGCAAACAATGTCAAGACTGTGGTTTAAGGAATGTGATTAAGGAATGCTCGATTTACCAGAACCGCGAGTGTGGGAAGATATGTCCCAAAGGGTATGTTTTTCATGATAACATTGATGGCTGCTGGGAAGTGAAATCAGTGACACCCACAACTATGTCAACACATTCAACTAAAAGTGTTAAACTCATGGATCTTATTCACACAGAAACAACTGAAACACACCCAAAAACAGAAGTTCATGACACTACCATCATTTCAAATCATTCTGTTGAGGTAAAGACGAGCAGCAGCCAGCTCCAATTCCCATCAGCAGGTGTTGATAATACACCAACACAAGCAACTTTACCAAAAAATGGAAATGAGGCCTCCTCAAATGTGTTGTCAACAAAGGAAGTACAGCCTAGACAGGACCACAAAACACTTCTAGTAATTATCTATGTTTTAGCAACAGTAATTGTTCTGATTTTATTAGTACTGGTGATTTTATTAGTACTGGTGATGAAGACTGTCTTCAAAGCAAGGCAATATCGCTCTGAAAAGAGACATGAAGAGTCCTCAGGTAGGATTTAATACTCATATAATCTATTAAATCCTGGTTGTAATTTATTCCTTTGATCAAGCCTTCAGGGAGATGAGTTTTTTTGAAAAATAAAGCTGGCAAGAAAACAGAAGAAAATTTTTCAAACAGAAACCCAATTAACTGAAATTGGAACACAAAAATTAACATGCAGTTCTATGTTAAAAGATCAGTTACCCTGAAGGTTTTAGTTCAATTTTTATTGATTATATTTTCTTTATTCTCATCACTTGTCTGCTTGATATTGTATTGATATGGTAAGGAGAAATTCTGTCTTGGTCACTCACACGAGTGAAAGGGTTGATTGTTTACTTTAAATCATTTCAGTGAAGCTGTCTCTCAATTTAACTACAGGTCATTATCTCAATCATTTAAGATCTGAATTCTTGTGACTCAATCTGGCTGGATTTATTCACTAAAATCTCTAGATATTTCAATTTTGATAACTTCAAATTGTCTTCCACTTAACTAGAGCTCTCCTGTTTATATTTTTCTAAGTCTACATGTAATTCTTGGTCAATTAAAATGCAATTAACTCAGAACAAACTATTTAAATTATTTGCAGATAGTGCAGAGGAAAATATTCCACTGGCTGATACTGATGCAAGTGAGGGTTCAGAAGCTAATATTAGTAACTCTACAACACAAGGTAATTCAAACTTAAAATTAAAACATCTGACAAAAAAAGGATTGCATGGACAGGTACAAAAGTAATTCCAGAACATTTCTTACTTTTTGTTCTTTAGCTGATATATTAAGTAACTGCTGATTTAGTTTTGCTTCTGTACAAACTTTAATTATCATGATACTGCATTTAGCATATCCAGCATGATATGATCAGCCATCCAAACTGTTGGGATTCCAGTGAAATAAACTTGCACAGGGTAGTTGGAATCTTAACATTTAATAGAACGAACAACTTACAGTGCAAGCAAATCCTAGCAAAAGGTAAGACTGACTTGATTGGCGAACTTGAGTCACATGACAACAAGCGATTGCGTGACAATAACATTACACAAACCTCACTTCTTAAAAATTCATGATTTAAATCGGTAACTTCACTTTAGAATTTAAAGATGAGTCACCTTGCTTTAAAAGGCTTAATATTTCTTTTGATAGCTATTTGAAATAAATTAAGGTGATATTTAAAATTTCAGTTGCAATTAACCATCATTTGTTCAAAAATTTTGGCTATACCAGTGCATTTTAAATATTTAATTATTAGATCTGATTTATGTATTCTCCTCTCTATATAGCATATATAAATTTATTCTTTCACAAATCAATAAGGAGAATTTGCTGACAAATCAGTATGACTAAAACTTTGAATCTTATTCTTTTGTAGAAGATTTGCGTGATCTTGATCCTCAAGACAAGACCAAAGAACAACTGTTAGAAAAGGCATTGGTAGACACTCCTACAGGTACTTATCAAGTCAATTGGGTGCATAACATACATTGCACTTTCCCTTCAATTACCTCCCAGAAAATTCACCATAAAGTTGTAAATTTTATGAAATGTTCTAAACTATAGTTAAAAAACCCTGCATTTCCTTTGTGCTTGCTTATTGTTTTCTAATAATAGGTACATATTCTGTCATAATTTCTGAATAAATATTAGTTACTTATTACATATATTCATCTTCAATTATCCTTTTAGATAACAACTTATCAGAAAATGAGGTGTCTTCTAATTCAGACGATGCTCAAGCAGAGGATGAAATGAATCTAGAAAATATTCCAGAAGGTAATAATCAGTTTTGAGTAAAATTTAAAGAAGAAGGCTCGACACTACAAAGGAAAGAAAAAATTTCACACCAGTCAAATTTGTAAATTTTGATAAGAGGTGATGAAATAGTACAGTACATACATGCATTGCAATGATAACATGAAGAAAAACCATTTACCTCAAATGGAAGATGACTTTGAACACCTTTTGATCCATATATGTCTAAACACATTTACACAGTTAAATATCCTAGCCCTTGCACTTTATATACACTGCATAATTTAAGTAACTCAAGATAAAAAATTCCCAAATCTGGAAACTTAGTCGTTGCAATTAAGATGCACACCTCAACATCGTGGGGTGCAAGTGTTCCATAAAAATTCAAGTATTTATTAAAGTCCTCAAGACAGCTATTTTTTAGCATTAAATTATAGAAATAGAAGTATGTAGAGGGTTTCTGGTAAGATTTGTAGGTGATTCTGATGCGTCTTTGTTATGTTACAAGGCGATAAAAGTCCAAAATTGTATAGAACTTAGGCTTCCCATATCTCTTTGGCCGTGTTAAAGAGTACTGGAACCCGTACACATGATCTAACGGTAGTAACACCAAGTTTATCAAAGAAGCAAAATGAGTGTGGAAAATACTGTTTACAATCTTTTTAGCCAAAAAATGCCATTTCGATGTGTAGTTTGGGGTTTTTTGAATACCCCTGACTCAATGATGAAGAATATACACCACTTTCATAAATGGCTGCCAGATTGATATTCTTTTGTTTAAGTTCAAATTAGCCTCACTAGCCTCGCTTGAGATAATGCATTCTTTTGAATTTTGAACTGGAGAATGAGGCCAGAAAGGCTAATTTAAATTTAAACAAAAGAATATCAATCCGGCAGCCATTTATGAAAGTGGTCAATTTCTCTCCCCAAGATTCCTACTGTGACATCATGGCACCCAGTCCCTCTTTACTCTGCCAGACATTTTATCTTCAGATTATAGAGCTTGATAAAAAAGTCAGTAAAGGGCAAAAAAATTATACCACTGTGACAAATGTTGCAAAAACATTTTTTGGAGTCATTATATTTTGATGTAAAATAAAAAAAAATAAGTGTAATAAGAACTTTAAGGGGGCAGGTTTCTAAAGAAACTGTGGCGCTGTGTTGGAGTAAAAGGTAATTTGCTCTGATGAAGGGCTAATGCTCGAAATGTCAGCTTTGAACTCTTTACAGTGGCCAATTCACATTATCAAGTGAGTTGATGAGACCCAAATTATCAAATATTCACCACTCCTTTTCTTTTTGTCATGTAGAAATTCTTGTCTCTTATATGGAACTCTTAATATGTGATAAGAATGGTAACCTGTTCAACTATGTTCAAACAAAACTTGATGCCATTGAAACCTGCACTCGCAAAACATGGCCTAGTGTTGGAAGAGAGCTGAAGGTTCATCCTGATACTGTAAACTTGATAGAAGCTGACAGGAGAAGTTCCACAGAATGTCTACTTGAGAAATTAAAAACATCAGGAAAAGAGCCCACAATGAGGGAATTTGTTAAAGCCCTCAAAAACTGCGAAAGAAATGACATGGTAAGATACATCTGCAACTGGCCATGGGGAGAGGATATTCCAGCACAACAGCATCAGAACCAATCAATATATTCCAAACAAAACTCTCAGACAGCACAAAACGAGGGAGACTAAAAACAATGAAGAATTTGGATGTAGACATCAGGGTGCATTCTGCTTCAAGTGCTACGAGACAAATGGTAGTCTCATTTGGGACAATAACATCTCTGAATTACAACAAAGACTCAGACAGGATTGAACAAGTTGTGACAAAAATATCATAGGACCTATAGTCTACCAGCTACAAGTTATATGCCCTTGGTCACATGAATGAAGTTCCCTGTGGAAGCTGTTGGCAGCCTGGGGATTAGCAGCCCAGAGGGCCACTGCAATGCTGGTAAAATTATATATTCATGTAATCTGTACATAGTATATTTAACGCCTATAATCATCTCAATTCAAACAAGCACGAGTGGAATAATTGTTTTATTAACAAAAAAAATGCCCCCAACATATTAGACAAATCTTCTCGACTTTATTTTGTAAGAAGAGACCGGATGTTACAAGGTACAGATATTAGATTATCGTATATTGGCTCATATAAAGCTCCGACGAAGGGCGAACGCTCGAAATATCAGCTTTTGTAATCGTTACGGTGGCCAATTTGCCATTTCAACTTTGTTGATATATCCAAATTATTTCGTTACCCCCACCAACTCAGCCCCAAACAGTTTCTTTAGAAACTATCATCCTTTATTTAACAAGAAATTAACAGTGATAAATTCATAATTAGGCAACTTACGACAAAAAACTTTCTGTTTTTTAAATGACCATTTGTCTCCCAAGGATTTAATATTGGTGGCAAATTCAGAGTTAAATGTTTTATAGAAAAAGTTTTACTGTTGCTGTGGCAAAATCAGAAATGGAATAATGTTGTGGTTTACAAGTTGGTCAGGGCAGACAGGAGCTGCGTGACCATTTCAAGTCAAACATATATTTAAGAATACAGTATAAGTATCTCAAATAGTATTTTTGAATGATATATTTGTTCGATCTTTTATTATTTAATGCACGGAACTTATTCAATAAAGAAATCATGTCCAACGTTTCCCCTGTAACTTATTACTAGTAATTTACACTGTTTATCAGTGTCCAGGGTTGTATACAAGACACCTAGGGAAAAAAAAAGATCATGAATGGAAGATGTACGATTTTAACAATGTTTCCAGCGAGCTAGAGTCATATGAAACGTGTTTTTTCTTTGGGACAACGGCTTTGTTTAAGAACAGTATGGGGTCATATGGAGATCGTTTCAAATTTTTCTCACTCTTATGAACTCACTAACCTTTCACAAGCCTTGCAAGGAGTCTTAACTTGGATTTTTGAGAAAGTGCCAGCTTATCCACCGCATTGCAGAAATGTAGAATATTCAAATTTTAACAATCTGTTGTTGTTCTCGTAGTTCGCGGTTCGCTCAATCATTCGAGACAGAATAAAGGCTCATTTCCAAAAAAACAACATTTAATAACAACCACATTACCACGCCATCTTGAAGCCGTGCTCATTCCTTGTTCTAACCACAATACATTGCGAACATAATCGTGACGCGACGTCACGACATGTGTAACGACATCCGCGTCACAGAAAAAAACATTTCCGCTGAATACTCCATCTTGGTGTAATTGAGACTGTAGTGTATTGTACCGGTGCCGCAGTGATATGTGTATCCCCATGATATGTGTATCCCTGCACACATATCACTAGTGATATGTGTATCCCCCTCCAATATGGCGGCCAGTGATATATGTATCCTCCACCCCTGCCCCCTCCCCTCCAAAAAGAAATGATTACGCCTAACTTGTGTTAATGGACAACTTTTAAAAATTATTTTTAAATATAGACTAGTGAGTAGCACTTCTGCGAACAGAAGTTGTAAAACTGTTTTTATTTTTGGACGCTGTTTCCTCATGTGGTTTTTTGTCTCCGGCATGAAGAAATATATCCGCATAAGACAACCTTTCCTAGAGATGAGAATTAAATTTTATTTTCTGCGTCCTAACCGCTTTCTTGATGCTTAAATACAAAACATTCACACTCCCTATGAATAATAATCTTTAGCGCAATCTATAGCTAATTACATATGAATAAAAGAGTGGTGCGTACTGGGAATAACGATCTAAACAAATATGACTAATTGCAATATGCAATGGCATATTGCAACAGACGCGTTTCGTCTAACTGTCGTAGACTTCTTCGATCAGGGACGAAGCTTTTGAAAAGTTTTTTCAATATAGACTATGAGCAGCACTTCTGCGAACAGTAGCTTTAAAACCGTTTTTAATTTCCGACGCGTCTCGTCTAACTGTCGTAGACTGCTTCAGGGAGTTTTTTGGGGGCCTCGGTTTTAGCTAAAAATAAGTCCGGCCAGTGAGATGACAAAACGCGGAGCCCCGCTCCATGGAGTACCCTATGGAGTACCTAAATGGAGTACCCCTAAAAATCATGTATTAGTCAAATAAAATACTTTATGAACATGGTGAATCATTTAGATGTACATATCCTGATACATTTTGAGATTGTCAGCTCTCCGATTGTCACAGTTCGATGTAGTACACGAATTGACCGCCATCTTGAAATTAACATTAAACTGCTGACCACTTCAACGAAAAGCTTTAATGTAGCTAGCATCCATGAACGTTATCGTTAATAGTTCGACTTCTATCTATTTTCATATGATCTTCAAGCGCCTAAAAGGACGGACATCCTTCATTCTGCAACGGGTTTTACGTCTTTCAAAATACCTGTTTGTGTGGCGTCTGTAAGAGGTGTAGCGCTCCATTTAATAACACTAGGCCTCATGGGTTTTTTGTGCGAAGCCATGAGAGTGCAAGCTTACATTTGTAGGTGGAGACTTAAAAAAGGTAATCCATATCTTTAAACTGAGCTTCTCCTCACCCATCTATTTGTAGAGTAATAAAATTGAGGTATTTCATGACAAACCAAAAAAAAAAACAGTTAAAATTGTGACTTTCAACCTTTTTTGAACTGTCTTCCGCTGTGTAATGAGTCCTTTGATATGAAGACAAAAAACTCCATGTGATGAACATAACATCGATCTTTATTTTATTATCTGTGCATCTCGGCTTCAGAATAATCATCTTTACAAAGGCAAGACTTGGACA